CACACACACACACACACACACAAGGAAGCAGCAGGTTTTAAGTGGAGGCATGGGAGTGGACAGCGTGGCTGGGCCCCAAGGAGATATGGGCAGGAGGACAGACGCTGGCTGGCTGGGGAATGGTATTTAGTCCTGAGGGCCCCATTACCTTTTATACCCTTCTGTTGGACTACCCTTAGGGCTTGAGTCTGTTGGGTTGATCTTTTACAGAATCTGTTGACATCACTGTCCTAAACTATTAGCCTATTTCTAAGGTTAAAATAATCAGGCTAAATACAGTAAGAAAGGGCAGGGGGAGGGGGCATAAGACTACTTTAAAGAAGTCCAGTCCAGGACATCGTTAAGGGATTGGTAATAAATGCACAGACTTGGCATAGCTATGCTCTATTCTGATCCTATTCTACACTGGATGCTCGCATCTGCTTTGTACTGTCACTGACTTTCCACCTGGTACCCTGAGCTCATGTGACTCAGCTTGTGGGAACCCTTATATGTCTTTATATCGTGAGCAGTACAGGACCTAACAAAGATGATGAGTCATAACTATTTCTTTTGAAGCAACTAGGGTTTAATACTATCCTCTTTCCATGGAATTCTGAATTGCTTCGATCGCAAGCCATGACAGAGAAGAGTGTGCGACACACTAGTGTATTTGCCAGATCTCAGCTGTAGTAATAATGTGAATTTTAGTGTAGACTGCTGGTCTCCTTGCATACGCTGCCTAAGGCAGAACAACTGCATCATTCACAAATACAAGAGCAGGGCAACAGCAGTGAAGAGACAGACAATTTACTTCAGGAGAGGAGTTATTTGTTCTAAAACGGTCATGTAGAGCCAAAACAAATGTTAATAGCCAGACACAACCACCTAAAAAAGTGAAGACTTATTCTGAACAGAAACATAAGCTTCAATACCTTTCTCTCTCTGTCCTGTACTCTTGTAAAATGATAAGATACACTTTATATTTAGTGCAGGAAATTCATGTCTGTACATGCCCTGGAGAATAGCAGAAATTATGCCCTTGACACAAAGATGAGATGTTTTTCTCGTGGCTCTATCTAGTCGTATGACATAATGAATAGTCATTACATTTACATAGTTTCCAACCTAGAGTGCAAGAGGAGATTTCCCCCTCTTGCCCCGCTGACACTGAAATACTATAGTCGGGCTCTCTTGTCCATCTACTTATCCCCGTGCCACAAGATTAGCACCTTTAGAACTCTGGTGGCCAAATGCAGCCAGACAAGATTGCCCATTGCAACGGCCTGAAGAGCAGGATTTGCAGGCCTGCAGCCTGCCTGCCTGCCAGGTCTATTGTCCTCACTTTGTGATAGATGTCCAGCAGATTACACGGTCAGAAGAAATCCTGCACAGAGCCTCTAGCTGAGCAACTTAACGCAGTTCAGCAGCAGATTAGGCAGACAGAAAAACCGGGGTTTAAGACAAAAGAAGAGACGTGCAGATTTATAATACAGGTATGAGTACATGGGAGACGACAAACTAGCCAGAAAGAGCACCTCCTGTCAGCCAGAGCATTTCACAGGCAGGGATTTACTACAGGATTCCACTGACTAAGGTCCGGTCTACACTAGATACTTTTGCCTATAGAACAGTGTCAGTTAGGATGGGGATTTTTTTTTTTGGTGCATAACATTTCTGTGCTGACAAAGCCCTGGTGTAGACGCAGTTATCATAAAAGTGCTTTCGCTAGCAAAGCTTATTTTGCCCACCAACCCATTATAAACTATACCAGCAAAAAGTATTGTTTTGCCTGTATCAGCTGCATCTACACTAGCAGGGTTTGCCAGTACCGGTAGAGCTGGTCTCGGCAGCCAGCATCCCAATTCCAATCCTCAAATAAGGGAGGTTATCTTCAAGCACCAACACTGTGGAGATGTACAGCTCTTTACCCATTCATTGTCCAAGTGTTTGGTCACTACTGATTTAAGGAACCTCTAAAAGTAGGGCCAAAATTTAGGTTTGATATTTTAAGTTTAAAAGAAATAAGAAAATTCTTCTCCAAGGCTGGAGATTAGAAGGCAGCAGCATTGTGCTTGCAAAGCAGAAAGTGAAACTGACCAGAGTAGTTTCACCCTTCAAGCGGACTGAAGAGCAAACAAGGAACAGCTCAAATGGCAATTAGATTTCTAGAATTCTTTCACTTTTAATACTATAAGACATTACCTGTAGTTACAGGTAGGAATGGTTTTAAAATACAAATTTTCAACTTGGGACACGGGGTCCAAGGCGGTCTGAGAGGTCAGGGGCAGAAAGAGGTGGGGGCAGGGCCAGGGCTGGAGGGGGTTGTCCCAGGCCCTGCACCCTCCTAGGGGCAGCCCACAGTACAACTCCCAGTTGACTTATACCAGTAGCTCTCAACCTTTCCAGATTACTGTCTCTCTTTCAGGAACCTGATTTATCTTCCCTACCCCCAAGGTACAACTGACTTTAAGATCTATTTGCTTATAAAATCAGACATAAAAATACAAGTGTCACTGCACACTATTACTGAAAAATTACTGACTTCCTCAAATAAATCAATTGGAATATAAATATCATACTTACATTTCAGTGTACAGTCTATCGAGCAGTATAAACAAAGCATCGTCTGTATGAAATTTTAGTTTGTACTGACTTAGCTAATGCTTTTT